TTTTTCTTCAATATTGCTTTGGCAATTCTGGGTCTTTTGTGATTCCATATAAAATCTCAGGATCACTTGTTCCAGTTCTGTGAAAAATGTCCTGGGTGATTTGATAGGAATCACATGGGATATCTTTCCATTTCTTGAAGTCTTCCTTAATCAATGTTTTATAGTTCTCCATGTGTAAGTCTTTACCTCCTTGATCAGTTTTACTCCTAAGTATTTTATTGTTTTGGATGCAATTTTAAAATGGATTGTTTCTTTACTTTATTTTCCTGTTGATTCACTGTTAGTGTAAAGAAATGCAACTGATTTTTGTATGTTAATCTTGTATCCTGCTACCTTGCTGAATTCTTTTATTAGCTCTAGTAATTTTTTGTGGAGCTTTTAGAGTTTTCTATATATAGTATCATCAACATAGAGTTTTAAATTTGCATTGCCACCTCTGCCAGTCTTTTCTTCATATTTTCTGTCCATTGTCATTCTTTAGGTCTTTGTAATCCTGGGATTATATAAATACCAAGTTATACCTTTCTCTAATTATTTTTATGGTTTTATTTTTATTTTATATCTGTAATCATCTGGAATTGATTTGGTAGATTAGGTTAATGTTATAACTTTTTGAAAATTACTAATCACCACAATTGAATAATCCTGTGTTTCCCTCACTGATACTAAAAATATCCTTTATAATAGAGTCTTATGTATATTTTGAGTCAATTTCATTATTTTGAATGGATTTTTCTATCTATTCCTGTGTCAATACCTCACTGCTAAATTACTGTAGCAATATAATCCTATTTAATATCTGGTAAGCAAGTTGGACCTTTACTGTTCCACATTTAAATTTTTACTTTAAAAGCTTAAGCAACTGGATAATGTGCTACATTCTTATTTTCTTTTACTTAACCACACCTGGAAAAAGCTTAGACAATTGACCATGGAATCAATAAAAAGCCCTCATTATTTAGCAGGTGGCCACTACCGGAATTGTGGCCCTAGTGCCAAAAAGGAAGTAATCAATTCTAGACGAACCTCCTACCTTCAAAGTAATGGAAAAGATTGCATGTGGAAAGTAAGTAGCATGAGGAATGTAAGTAGCGTGAAATTTGGGTATTTGATTGCCATTTTCTGGCTCGGGTTTCTTTATGAGATGTTTGATCAGAATTTTTCCATCACCATGGTACTGAACAAAAGGTTCAACAAAGTCAGAGTAGACAGCATCTTACTGTTTTCATGATGCAAATTCCCAAGACATCTATGATGGCTATGTATAAATGCAAGTCACAAAATCCTCTCCCAAAGACATTCATTAATAATCTTTCTACCACCTGCCATACTGGATTATTAACATCCTTTATATTCTCTGGCATTAATGGAGATAATCAAGTTAAATGTAACAATGTTTTGTTCTTTGTGTGCAAATAGTTCAGTTGACTATTATAAGTAAAGTGTTGGGTTTGAGACATTTTTCTGAGTAGAAATAAAAGTCAGAGAAAGAAGCCAACTTTTACTGAACATTTACAAAGCATTAATCATTTTTAAACCTAAAAGCTAGATATTGTTCTTATGCCCAAATTAGATGGGAAGAATCTTAGGCACAGAAAGGTGACATAACTTTGGTCAAGATCTCATAGCTAGAAAGTAGATCTCAGAAATAACCAATCATGCTTGACTCAATAGTTTGATTCCATTTGTTTTCAAAGACATTCTCTCTTATTTGTGAGTTTTGTATTGCAACAATTACTCTAACTGAGCTAGCTTGCATGTTTTTAGTATTTTCTAATAAAGCACTATTGCTGTTTCAAACTGTAATAACATGGCCAAACAAGTGACTTCGGGACTTTGCTAATTCTTGATCAAAAATTATCTGGCTCCTTTATATCAAGGAAGATGTTAAGTTCATGGTCCTAATATTATGTCTGTATTATTTGAAGAATTAAAATTCAGAAAGTTATTACAGTTTCTGTAAATTAAACAAGAAGTGCCTGCCACATTCACCTATAATTTTTCATAGGAATATAAACAGTAGAGTGGTTGAGTATGGAATTTGGAGTCAGACCTGAATTTAAATGCCAGCTTGGAAGTTTACTAGCTGTGCGATCTTGGATAAATTATATAACCTTTCTTACCCTGTTCCTTAAAGTACCTTCCTGATGGTATTTTATTTATTCCACAAACAAACTTATTTTTTAAAGTATTTAGCAGGGTATCTGGAACAATCTGTGCTCCAGAAAATCAATGTTTTGTTCTCATCTTCCATCTTGTTATTGGTATTTAAGAATTAATCTCTCTATATTTGACTACTGTCAGTAAATCAAGATGA